TGACTAAAGGATTTTGTGTCAGAAGTCCCAATATGGCCTAAACCTATGGCTCCGATATCAATCCATTGTGATAGTGCATCAACTCCGTCAAAAGCTTATAACCATGTGTACAATGGTAAGTCAAGGCACATAGGAGTGAGACACAACTATGTGCGGGAACTTATTAGTTCTGGAGTTGTTGTGATTGATTTTGTACGAACACATGTGAATTTGGCTGATCCTTTTATAAAAGCGATGCCAAGGGACATGGTGTACAAAACAGCAAAAGGGATGGGGTTAAAGCCCTTGGAAAATAATCACAAGTGAAAGAAAGCCCAACTCAACGTCTAGTACAACGCTAGATCTTGAGTTCAACGACGATGAGTAAGTCACTACGTGATTGAAGCACTTTTGAATAATAACCATCCCGAGGTAAGTGCTTAGATCTGCAATGTGTAATGAGGTTGACTATGTCTTAATAGATCTTTTGATAAAGTGTTTGATTGCAGAACACGGTTTGAAAAGGTCTACATATGTGAGCTAGAATGGCGGCCGATTCACCCAAGTTTAAGGCTTTACTTGTTGGAGCTCATGAATGGATATGGACACAAGACCGTTAGTAGTGTCAAGTTTCTAAAGTGAAATGTATAAAGACTTTTGTGTGTAATATCTTCAATATTTCAAAGTGGTTGTATAGTTCAAAGCTTAGTCTACTATTATGATCCGAAATATTGTAAAGTATACTGCACTAAACGAAAGTTCAATCGTTACGACACTTTCAATTATGCATTAGTCTTGATAAGTGGTCTATTTGGCAAGGATTGAGCATGTTTATTTTCAATAAATGGAGGAGGATCGTTGGAGATTTATTGAAATAAAGCTCAATTGTTATATTACATGGTCCTTCAATCATTTTATAAATAAATGATGTGATTTATTAAAATGATTTATTTAAGTATAATGATTATTATAATAATTATGAGAACACTTTTGTGCACGTGTGCTCTCATATAGTTATAATAAAATTATTTTATTTTATTCTTATCATTTGTGCTGATTTCAAATACGGTATATTAAAATTTGCATTTTAATGGATGCCATTTGCGGCATCTTTTTGTGGATAATGCAAATTTTATTTTATAATAATAAAATGTTTTTTAAAGGAATGTACATGATCTTTAGGAAAATGCAGCACCGTTTCTTTTGATTAAGCTTAACCGCATCTACGGTTAATGGGTAGCATCTTTACAAGAGGTCACCATTCTTTTAATAAATAGGTAGGATCATGTTGAATTGAAGATGGACGGCAAAAAATATTTTGTCAATTGTCTCTCATTGCCTTGTTACTTTTATATGCAGTATTAGTAATAAAGTATTAAGACCGTTTTATATACAAATCACTTGTTCGGTGTTATTTTATCAGTAACTAAAATACACCATACACCTTCTTTTTATCCCAAAAGTTCTATCTTGTAACCCGGATATTGTGATAAGGTTGGATACTAAACTTTTAGGAAAGCGTATTTATACGTGACTAGAAGTGATATCCGGTCCAGCCATATTTCACACCCTAATAATATACTATTTATATCCTCAAGTTCGAAGAAATCGGGTATTTCCGGGGCGGGCTCTGAGTCGCCAAAAGAGGAACCGGCCCGGTCGGTCCGGGCCGCAACGGTCAATTTTTTTTTTTAAACTAAATCCAGCTCCTCCTAGTCATTGGGAACACTCCCAAACGGCTCTATAGCCATTGGAGGGCTGGGAGGGGGTCCATAGGGGTTTTGGGGGTATAAAAAAATCTATAAATATTACTACTCTCTATTCTCTAATATTCTTAATCATCTTCATGTTCTTCAATTCTCTCTACATATATTTACACAATTATTATATCTACTTATATATTAATTATCTACCTATAAATACATATATTATATTACTAAAATTTATTATCTACTTAATATATACTTCATATTTACTTAATATCTACTTATTATCTACTTATTATATTATTGTTATTTATTTACATTTACATATTCCATCTACTTAATATATACTTATATATATATATATATATTAAAGTATTAAATATAAGTGTATTACTCATGTTATAGTAATATACTTATATAATACATACTATAAACATTATATTATATATTAGTTAAACAATTATTATATCTACTTATATACTAATTATCTACTTATAGATACATATATTCAGTATATATATATATTAAAGTATTAAATATAAGTGTACTACTCATCTTATAGTAGTATACTTATATATTACGGAGTATATACTACAAACTATATATTATTTATTAGTTACACTTTAATTAATAGTTAATTGAAGTAATTAATTTAGTTATACTATTTGTCATTGGTAATTAATAGTTAATAGTTCATTGCTATATTTGTCATTAAAGTAATTAAATTTGTCCTATTACTTATACAGTTATACACTCACACCCTCATTAATTTAGTTTACACATTTATACATTTGTTATTAATATTAGTTAATTAGTTAATTGATACATTTCTCATTTTCCTATTAGTTCATTGGTATATTTTTCATTAAAGTATAAAAGTTGTTAATTGTTACATTAATCATTTTCGTATTAGTTCATTGCTATATTTGTCATTAAAGTATAAAAGTTGTTAATTGTAAGTTGTTACATTTCTCATTTTTCATTTAATTAAAGTCACACTTGTTATACAACAATATGTTAACTAGTTAGAATTTTTTACTTCGAATTTATTCATTTAACAAAAAGTAGTTCAATTTTATTTTAAAAAATAGTTCGAATTTTACTTCCAATTACTTCAAATTTTATTTAAAAAAAATAGTTCGATTTGTTTCATTAACATTTCATTAACAAAAACTAGTTATTGAAAAACTAGTTCAAATTAAAAAAAAAAATAGTTAATTTTTTTCATTAAACTACACTTGTTAAATAAACAATAAAATTTATAACATTTGTTATTAGTTGCATACTTGCATTACTATTGTACTCATATTAACATATTTGTTGGATTTTAATTTTTCTAATATTTTTAAGATGAAACGTGGTAAACATTTTGTCGATATGGGTGACTTGAACCGCAACCGAACGAATGAGATTGCGATTAATCATCCTAGTTCACTAAAAGGTAAAGGACGGGTCGATTCTTTTTCTCAAAGCCGAGATGATTTTGAAACGGAGTACCAACGGAGAGATGCAGATGCGATGACCAACCATCAACTAACCCAACTTTTGGAACAACAAGATCCGCGCTTTTACCAACAACATGACATGCCCGAGATTGACGAAGAGCTCGAGGATGAGGATGCGGAGGAGGAGGCCAAGGGGCATGACACCCCGAACGATGAGGAAGAGGTCGAGGACGAGGCTGATTCATCCCAACCTGGTAAGAAATCTAAAACTAAATCTTTAATTATGAAACATAACTTTGAAAATACGAAGGACCCAAAAATCGAGCTGGGAATTTCCGGAGGATACAGCAGTTGCAAAAGGCATCTTATGTCCGCGCACCCCACGGAGTATGCGAAAATAGACAAAAGCAAGATGAAGCAAACTCAAATATCAAGGTTTGAAACTGGCCAATCCTTTGGTAATTTCTCCTATGATGATCAAAGACATTTGACTGGTATGTCTCACTTAATTGTTGAAAAAAATTTGCCTTTTATTTTTTCTGAAAGTCTTGTTTTAAAAGAATATGCTCAAGGTACTTTAAATCCTCAATTTCAAAACTATAGTCGCAAAACGATTAAAAAAGAAGTTATAAGGCAATATATTTTGCAAAACAAAAAATTATAAATATTTTTTGCAAACTTTGATTGACGTGTTAGTATTTGTAGTGATATATGGGAGGATACCCATCATCATTTATATTATTTGAGTGTGACTACACATTATATTGATGGTGATTGGGAAATGCATAAACATGTTCTTGCTTTTCGTGAATTTAATGATCGACACACCGCTGATAATATTTATATTCTCCTTGAACATATTTTAATTGAGTACAATTTGATCGATAAGGTGTTTGCTATGGGTTTTGATTGCGTGAATTGTGTGGTTTTTCTACTTTGATGGGTAGGTTTTTTCATCAGCGTTGTGCATGTCATATTCTAAATTTATGTGTAAAAGACGGGCTAGCCGTGTTGGGAAATGCTATGGAGGTAGTGAAGGGGGGATTAGACTTATTTGGGCTAGTAATCCATTAAAAATGCAACGACGTCAATATTTGAGGGATAGACGTGTCAAATATTGTGCTTTTCCTAAAGATTTACCTATTCGTTGGGATAGTACTTATAACTTAATTGTTGTACTTATTAGATTTAATCATTTAAAGACCATTTTCTTGTTTTTTAATAGAATATGCTAACTATATTATAAACCTGGTTGACATCGACACTATGGAAAAAATTGTGAATGTTTTGGTATATTTTAATAATGCAACTCAAACTTTTAGTCTTGTTTATACCTACTACAAACCAATTTTTTGTTGAAGCTGTTAATCTCGCCTGCGCTTTTTGTGAATTTTTTGATGCCGCTTACGTTAGTTATTTTTGTTCTTTCATGAAAGAGAAGTTTTTAAAATATTATTCACATATTCCGCATATATATGCATGGTATTGCATTTATTCTTGATCCTCGTTTTTGACTTGATTCTTTGGGGCAATGTTTAGATTACTTTCATGCTTCGTTTTTTGGTCCATTTCCTATGTACGAGGATAAACTAGAGCGGTTAACGAACCGAGCTTTTATCGAACTATTCGAGTTCGAGCTGGGTTTAGAATCTAACGAGTCGAGCTTAACGAGCTTTCGAACACGGACCCGAGCTGAATTTTATGTTCGAAAAATTAATCGAGCCCAGCTCGAACATAGTAGTATTCGGCTCGGTTCGAACTCGAGCCTATCGAATAATGGAATATTATTAGGAATATTTATTTTTTAGTTTGTTTTAAACTCTTTTACTATAAATATACATGTCAGGACTCCTATTGGAGTACCTTTTCCCAAAATCTCACATGGTATCAAGAGCCTAGGACAAAGCAATTTTTTTTTGGCTGTCTCGTTTCTTTCCCTTCCGCTGCAGCCTATTATGGAGTCCAACTCCGCCTTCGCTGAGTCCTCTGTCTCCACTGCGTCAACCACCACGGTGCCGCCTTCTATGTCTGAACCCTTCTTTTCAGCTGCTTTGTTCGCTATTCCTTCTGCAGCGCTGCCGTCAACAGCAATTTCCGGCGCCGTTCCTCCTCAAACGCCGCAGCCGGCCTACGCAGCGATGGATTCCAGTCAGTCCTCTTCACTCTGGATGCCACCGCCTTTGTATACTCTCTTCAACAGCCTCCCGCCGCAGTTTCCCTGGTCACTCTGCAGGTCACTCTGCTATTTAAGTTCACGTAAATAATGCTCCATGGATTGATTAGGTTTGTTTTTTAGAATTAGACAATAAACGTTTGAGTTCCATGACTCTGGGTAAACTGGCAGACATAAATCGGGATTGTAACCGCTCCCATATACCAAATGAATGATTAATATCATGAACATCAGTTAATACGTCACGAGAAAGAGTAGCAAACAACCAAGATCTAATTGTTTGATCCACTCGGAGCCAATGATAATAGTCCGTTTTAATGATTTGTTAATTATTAAAATTCATGGTATACATGGGAGGTACCTGAATTGAGCCATCAACCATGCCAAAGGGACCCTGAGACACCAGAACATATTCAAATTGTGTGCGCCAAGTGAGATAGTCCTCAACCGCTTTGAATTTAATAGTGACAATTTGGCTGACATTGACGATGCCATGAGAAACAGATTGCGCTAAAGAGGCCATAGACGAGCCAAACAACATATTATCAGTAGCTGTCCTTAATCTCACACCGAACACCCTAAAATTATAAATTTAATTTATATGTATGTCAAAATTTAAATATAATTAGTACTACCTCTGTCCCGATAGACTTTGCCAAATGCAAAGTAGGTGAGAAATAAGAATAGTAAAATCCGTGTGGTTGAAATTTGTGCAGAGGAGAGATAAATGTGTAGAACCACAAATTAGTTGCTTTAATAGGAAAGTGGCAAAGTTTTTAGGGACAACCAAAAAAGGAAAGTTGGTAAAGTCCAATGGGACGGAGGGAGTATTATTTTATGAATTTAAATATGATTATTAAAGAATCGAATACTTGTCGAATCATTCGAGCACGAACCTATTAACGAGCATCACCTAAAATTTTAAATTCGAGCATATTTATTGAACTTATCGAGCGCTCTGTTCGAAGATCGAACGCCTATCGAGCCGAACACGAGCCTCATTTGTAAAGCTCGTCGAACTTCGAGCTCGAACCCGAACACCACTAATTCCTTACCGAGCTGAACTCGAGCTTTGGGTGTTCAGGCTCGGCTCGACTCGTTAAGAGTCCTATGATAAACCCATAGACCCTAAACAAGAACACCAGAGGTTAGTAATTTATTATATCAATTATTTAATGACTTTCATTCACAATATGGTAACACACCCCCTCCCCCGACACGAACATCTTCATCTTAAGCAAAATCAATTTTTAAATCTACATTTGGCAATCTCATGAAAAAAGTAAATCAACTCCCGTTAATGAACAAAACTCGATGAACGAGCTTCCTATGTATCTAACAATTTCTGTTGATTATGAAGAATGAGATGACTTTGACGTTCTAAAGTGGTGGAAGGAAAAAGAAAGAACGTTCCCGGTTTTATCAAAGATGGCTAAGCAAGTGCTAGCAATGCCGGTATCAACAGTTGCCGTGGAACAAGAATTTAGTGCCCCCAACAACATGCTAATGGATTATAGAACAAGAGTGAGCGCAAACTCTCTTGAGACGCTTGTTTGCTCCCACGATTGGTTGAACGTCCAACGTAGAACTCAAGAAGTGAGCATCACCCGCCACTTTATGGAGGAAACAACCGAAAATGGCAGAGATTCCGATTGATTATTATTTATTCGAAAATGTATTCCATGTTTTATTTTTTTTTTCAATTCTCAATTGTACTACATATTTCAAATAAATATACTTTATATTTTTTATATCAAACAATTCTTGAATTAATTTGTAAAAAACAAAAAAAATATTTTTTTGCCCGAGACTCGGCCGGGTGGACCGGCTCGACCCGGTACCCGACCGGATGGACCGGCCCGACCCGGATCCGGTAGCTACCCGGGCCGGTTCCGGGCCTCAACTTCCCAAAAAAGCCCGTCCGAGCCCGACCTGGACAGGCCCGGGTCCATCCCTAATTCAAAGTATACAAAGGTGCTAAAGTAGGATGACCCCACCCCTTGTGTGGGGATATGTAAAACTAAAATCCATTTTTATCGAAAGTATCATAACTTCTTATATTTGTAATATAAAAATTACATCAAAATTCATAACTTTTTATTATCTTTCGTATAACATCAATATCGAATATAAAAAATAATAAAAAATAAAAATATGAAGATCCAATTGGCGAAGGATTTCATACCAACTTTTCTTTTCTTATTTAGAATCAAATGCTAAAATTTAGATCTCAGAGTTAAAATATGAATTAATGACCCGTATATTACTATATACTAGTATAAGACTGTGATTCCAAAAATATCATCTTATTACTATTTTCCAAAAAGTGATCTTTCATATAGAACCGCAGCCTATCGCATAAAGACACCAACCGATCGATTGCATCCCTTCGAGCTTCCAGCGCACTCAGCAATGGACGGTGGCCATCATCTCCTTGCATCTCTTCCGGCGCCGGCGAGTAAGGCGAACCCGACAACGTCGCCGTAGTGTATCTTCCTCTTCTCCTTTCTTCTTCCACCCAAAATCTCGAGCTAGAGTTAGGGTGGCGGTCAGAAAGGGGGCGGGCTGGTAAGGTGGGTGGGTGGGTATGAAGGGGATTGGATTTGGGGTTGCGGCAATTTCTCATGGGGTTGGGGGTGGGATTTGGGGCAATTGCCTAGCAAGCTAGGGAAGGGACTGGATAGCTAGAGAGGGGTGTTTAGGTATGGGCATGGGGATTTAGGGGTTGGCGACGACAGACTTCAGGGGCGGAGGTACTAGGGGGTCTAAGGGATTTTGGAAAAAATTAAAAAAAATAGTTTTTTTTTTAAATTGAACAGCGTCGTTTTTGAAACCCAAAGAACTCTTATACGCAAACCCAAGTTCTGCGTGAAGTTTTGCCCACAAACCCTTCTTCCAGAGCTAATCCGTCGTTCAGCTCCAACCGGTCCGCCTTCTTCTGCGCTTTCCTCAGCCCGCAGAGCCGCAGTCCCACAGGCCACAGGAGACAGCCGAAGGCACGCAGTGTTCTTCTCCAGTTTTGCCCGCAACCTTGCAGCTTCAAGTAATTTTGTTGTTTCTTAAAATTGTTGGGATTAATTAATTAATCTTAATTAGTTTACTTCCTAGGGAACATAAATTATCTTTCCCTACTTTTATCGGAAAGATGAAAGGTTTTCTTGGAAAGGTAAATTGTATTTCCTAGGGATTATTTTACTCCACTTGTAATGCCTATATAAGGCCACCAATTGTAATGTTCTATCAAGTGGAATATAATACATTCTCCTCCATTCCTTTGAGTTATAAGTTAGCCAAACACTTAGAATATTTTCGGATATTTGGGGCCTTCAAATTGGTATCAGAGCCACTGTTGAAGAAGAAGATGACAGCCACCATGTTCGGCCAACTACCTCAATTGAAGAAAGCAAACTTCGACCGATGGAATGCTCAAATGAGAGCACTGTTGAAGTCACAAGGAGTATGAGATGTTGTCGATAATGGCTACACAACACCGGAGGAAGGAACCGTCTTGACGGTTGCCCAACAAGTGGAACTCGAAGGAGCACAAAAGAAGGACCAAACGGCACTGTTTTGGTTGCTTCAAGCAGTGGATGACACCATCCACGAGAAGATAGCCGATGCCGAAACTTCAAAAGAAGCTTGGGACATCATCGAAAGAGTATTCAAAGGAGGGGAAAGAGTAAAGCAAGTGAGGTTGCAAACTCTACGAGGAGAGTTGGAGACTATGCGGATGAAAGAGAACGAGAAGGTCACCGAGTACATTAATCGGGTGATGACCATAGCAAACCATATGAAGAGAAATGGTGAAACCGTAAGTGAGAGTCGGATAGTAGAAAAAATTCTACGAACACTTACGGACAAATTCGAGAACGTGGTATGCGCAATCGAAGAAGCTAGAAATATTGAGACGCTTACCATTGACGACCTGTCGGGGTCGTTGGAGGCACATGAACAAAGAAAGATGAAGCGGCTAGAATCGCTTGAAGAGGCATTACAAACTATGGTGGTAGAGGAGAAGGCAATGTATGCCCATCAACCGAGAGGCCGAGGCCGAGGTCACTTCCGTGGTCGGGGCCAAGGAAGAGGAGACTACAACCGAGAGGAGAATACCCACCAGAACCGGGAGGACCAACATCGCCCGACCTGGAGAGGCCGAGGCAGAGGAGCTGCCCGAGGCGGTCGGGGAGGCAGACCCGATGGGGAATGCTACAATTGCGGGAAACGGGGACATTTCGCAAGAGACTGTTGGTCGAAACCAAAACCGGAGGAGAATCTAAATGTTGCTGAGCATGAGGATGATGATGGAGATGAGGAAGGAGTGCTCTTACTAGCACACAAAGAAGGAAGCTTAACAGACGACGCTACATGGTACTTGGATACCGGGGCGAGCAACCACATGAGTGGTTATAAACATTTATTCACTGAGTTGAAGGAGGCTGAGGGAGGAAATGTATCTTTTGGAGATACATCAAAAGTAGTTATCAAAGGCCGAGGAAAGGTTAAATTTCTGCAAAAGAATGGACAAGAGGGGACGATTGAAAACGTACTCTATGTCCCGAGCATGAAGACAAATATCATAAGCATGGGACAACTTATGGAGAAAGGGTATTCAGTCGACCTAAGTGGTCGATACCTACACTTGAAGGATAGACGAGGCCGGGCCGTCGCCCGGGTAGAGATGGCCAAGAACAGAATGTACAAGTTGGACTTGAGAAGCGTAAACCATAAGTGCTTGAAAGTCGACCTGACGGACAAGTCACTATTATGGCACCTACGTTTCAGACATTTGAACTTTGGAGGATTAGCCGAGCTGAGCAAAAAGGGCTTGGTGCATGGACTACCCGAGATGGATTTTCCAAAGCAATTCTGTGAAAGCTGCGTACTTGGGAAACACACCCGGACAAGCTTTCAGAAGACTGCCAAGTACCGAGCCAAGGGAGCATTGGAGACAGTCCATACGGACATTTGTGGGCCGATCACGCCATCATCTTTCAGTGGGCGAAGGTACTTTATCACCTTTATTGATGACTACACCAGGAAGACTTGGGTATATTTTCTAAAAGAAAAATCGGAGGCCTTTAAAACATTCAAAAATTTCAAAGCCGAGGTGGAGAAGACAATCGGACTGAAGGTGAAAGCGTTGAGGTCAGACCGGGGGGGAGAATACATTTCAGACTCTTTTACAAAGTTTCGTGAAGAGGAAGGAATTAGAAGATTCCTTACCGCCCCGTACTCGCCTCAACAAAACAGGGTGGCCGAGCGAAAAAACCGGAGCATTATGGACATGGTAAGATCCATGCTCAAGAGCAAAAATATGCCAAAGCAATTTTGGGCCGAGGCGGTACGATGTGCGGTGTATGTACAGAACAGGTGTCCGCACTCAAATCTTGAAAATCTAACACCTCAAGAAGCATGGAGTGGTCAAAAGCCGACCGTGTCACACTTGAGGGTGTTTGGGAGTATCTCTTACGCACATGTGCCCGATCAGAGACGGAAAAAATTGGAAGACAAAAGCAAGAAGCTTGTCTTCATTGGCTATGATGAGAAGACAAAGGGATACAGACTATATGATCCCGAGGAGAAAAAGATCACAGTGAGCAGAGATGTAGAGATAAATGAAAAAGGAAGCTGGGATTGGAACACAGAGAAGGAGTACGTCCCGGACGGGACCTCAAATAACGAGGACGTCCCGGACGGGACCTCAAATGACGAAGAGACCCCGGGCGGGACCCCAATTCCAATCCCGCTCGGGATGACACCAGAACCAATCGGGGCGGGATCTATGACGACCCCGGGGGACGAGGAAGAAGAAGAAGGGATGAGCCGGCAAAGGTACAGAAACATACAGGACATATATGAAGCAACTCCAGAGGTTCACATGGTATGTCTTCTAGCCGATGGGAAGGATATTACTTTTGAAGAAGCCAAGCACGATGAAAAATGGAGAGATGCCATGAACGAAGAAATAAAAGCGATTGAGAAGAATCAGACCTGGGAACTTACCAATCTCCCGAGAGGTCATAAGCCGATCGGAGTCAAATGGGTGTATAAGAAGAAATGCAATGCTGAAGGTATGGTCGAGCGATACAAAGCTCGTCTTGTTGCAAAAGGTTACAAGCAAAAGGCTGGAATTGACTATGACGAGGTATTTGCTCCAGTAGCTCGGATGGATACAATTCGACTACTGATTGCATATGCTGCCCAGATGAAGTGGCCGATCGGTCAGATGGATGTAAAGTCAGCGTTCCTTAACGGAACTTTGGAAGAAGAAGTTTATGTTGAGCAACCAGCTGGGTACGTCCGAGTCAGGAACGAGAACAAAGTACTGAAACTAAAGAAAGCTCTGTATGGGTTGAAGCAGGCACCAAGGGCATGGAACACTCGAATTGATACATATTTCAAGCAGAGTGGCTTTCTACAATGTCCATATGAGCACGCACTCTACGTGAAGAAGAATGAGAATGGAGTCTTGTTTGTCGCCCTGTATGTGGACGACCTAATCTTTGTGGGAGACAACAGAAAAATGGTTAAAGATTTCAAGGAAGCGATGAAGAATGAATTTGAAATGACAGACTTGGGAGTATTAAAATACTTCCTAGGCCTTGAGGTGAAGCAAGCCGAAGACGGAATATTTATTTCCCAAGAAGCCTATGCTAAGGAGATTCTGAAAAGGTTCAAAATGGAGGAATTCAAGCCGGTCAGGACTCCAATGGAGACTGGAACCAAACTTTCTAAGTTTGGGGGAGGAAATCAAGCTGACGCAGGCTTATATAGAAGTCTGGTCGGGTGTCTTAGGTACTTAACCTGTACGAGACCGGACCTGGCTTTCAGCGTTGGGGTTATCAGTCGGTTCATGGAGGACCCGAGGGAATCTCACTGGAAGGCGATAAAGAGGATCCTGAGATACATCCAAGGGACGAAGACGCACGGGCTATTGTACGGGAGGTCAGCCGAGCCCAAAATGATAGGGTATTCTGACAGCGATTGGTGTGGAGATGTAGACGATCGAAATAGTACCACCGGTTATGTTTTCAATCTAGGAAACACAGCTTTCACTTGGTTATCAAAGAAGCAACCGATTGTAACTTTGTCAACATGTGAAGCAGAGTATGTCGCAGCATCATACTGTGTAAGACACGCAGTTTGGGTGAGAAAGATGATGACCGAGCTGGAGCTCGGGAAGACGGAGCCGACTACGATTTGTGTTGACAACAAATCAGCAATAGAGCTTGCAAGGAATCCAGTCCACCATGAGAGGAGCAAGCATATTGACGTTCGATTCCACTTCATCCGAGAGCAAGTGAAGAACAAAGAGGTCAATCTAATTCACGTAGCGAGCCGAGATCAAGCAGCAGACATCTTCACAAAGGCATTGCCAATCGCAACCTTTGAGCATTGCAAGTTGGGGCTCGGAATGAGAGACCGAAGAGAATTAAGATTAGGGGAGGAATTTGTTGGGATTAATTAATTAATCTGAATTAGTTTACTTCTTAGGGAACATAAATTATCTTTCCCTACTTTTATTGGAAAGATGAAAGGTCTTCTTGAAAAGGTAAATTGTATTTCCTAGGGATTATTTTACTTCACTTGTAATGCCTATATAAGGCCACCAATTGTAATGTTCTATTAAGTGGAATATAATACATTCTCCTCCATTCCTTTGAGTTATAAGTTAGCCAAACACTTAGAATATTTTCGGATATTTGGGGCCTTCAAAAATGCACTCCGTATTTGTTGTTTGCTATTGCAGACTTGGAGTGGACTTATTAGATAGAATTATAGAAAAGTGCCAATCCGGACTTATTAGATTATTTAGATATATATATTTTTTTGTTTTTTGATTCACGTCCTTAACTATATTTGTCTGTGGGCTTTGTTTGTGATACCTCAAAAGAGGTTAGACACATGATACATGAGTTAAAAATAATAAATAGAGAAGGAGGGAGAGAAGCAATATAATATCAATCTTCCATTGTGTATGCTTCACAATAAATAGAGAAGAGGAGGAATGCTACTTCAAATTAGTTAAATTAAATCATTAATTTGGTTAATCTTTCTTTCTCGTGTGCTTCAAATGATTTACTTTTCTTTCATTGGCTCATACCTAATGCATTCCTTAGTATCGTAGAATTTCATAGTGTTTACTGCTTTTACCAGTGTTATAAACTTTTCTGCTAGTAGTACTCTCTACACTGAGCCTGATTTTTGTAATGAAGATAATTAAAAGCTCACTGCGTAATCGTATGAACGATGATATGCTAAGCGATTGTTTGGTGCCATATTTTGAAAAATACATCTTTGATAGTGTGCCGAATGATAAAATTTTACAACGATTTCAGAATATGAAGGAACATCGCCATTTGCTACCACGCACTACGGCATAATCATTTACGTCCATTTACTCTTTTTTATGTTTTATTCAACTTTCTTTTCTTGGAACTTCTTTGTATTCGGACTATTTTTAGGTTTTAAATATATTATGCCTTTAGTTCCTGACCCTGCTGAATCAAATTCCTGGCTCCACCCCTGATGACAGTGGTAAGAGAGGCGGGGCAAATGACGGCGGCCAGAGTTTGTGAGATGGCAACCGTCGGAGTTTGTTGTCGGTGACATCCGGAGTTTGTGGATAGGGGCGCAGGTGGCTGGGATGGGGGATATTGGTGTTGCTTTCACTCTAAACGTCACTGCACCTGGCTGGGATGGGCGACCACGATGTCGGTAAAAAAGTCACCGGAAAATACCCGACGGTCACAGTGACATGTTTACGGCGGCAGTGACATTCGAATGTGACACGAAAACCGATAGTAACATTCAAAAGTGACATAAAAATTTGATAATGACGTATGATAGTGACATAAAAATTTTTCAGTGACATAAGTTTTTTGCAGTGACATCATGTTTTCCCAAGTGTATAACAAACTTAGTCACATTTTTGTCCTTTTATGAAAATGGTAAAATTTTCGGAAATTCGATTTAATTTAGTAATATTCCAGTAAAAAGCCCTTAAAATATTATTCATACATCTTTCTGTTATTTCTTTTCTCAAATAACAAAAAGAATTAAATTATAAATATATTTATTTTTACATCGAAAAGTTTGACTTTTATTGATCATAATTATTCCGGAAATATTTTAAAAAATGCTGTATAAAAATAAAAGTAAAGCATATGGAAAATGCTCTTTGTACACGGCAGTTTGTACACGACGGTCAAATTGTCTGTATATAGTTTATAGATAGACAATTTGATCGGCGTTTTTTGAAGAAATCCGATTTTCACACACAAAAAATTTTTGTATCAAATTGTCTATGATACATACAATTTGGTCGGTGTGTACAAAAGAAGTGCTTCATTGTCTCTGATACAAGTAATTTAAATTATCTGTGATATAGACAATTTTTTTATTTGTGAAAATCGATTTTCTTCGTAAAACGACGAAAAAATTGTTTGCGTTCGTGAAAATTTGATGGGTGTGTAGAATTAGCGGTGGGCATAAAACCCGAACCGAACCGGTACCGAACCGTCCCGTAATGGTTCCGAACCGAATATTAGGTATTTAAACGTTTTATAGATTTTTATCCCGTAGCGAAACCGTACCGTTTGAAACGGGTACGAGACCGATTCCTAGATTTTGAGAACCGAAAAATACCGGACCGAACCGTTCGAAAATAGTGCATTTGAATTTTTTATATTTTTTTCTATATCAATATATCTAGACCAACAATTTTTTACCCCAAGTATGTATTCATGTGTCCCTAAGATATCTAAAATCTGTTTTATATATATATTGTTAGTTTTTCTTTTTATATAATTTGTGTTATACTCCCTCCGGTCCTAAATAAACTTCACACTTTGACTTCACACAAATTAAGGAAATAAATTTGACTTTACTGTCGAATACACTGTTGTGATACTGTTTGGCACTGTTTTGATGTAGATAATTTGCCAAATAAGGAAGGGAAAAGAAGTGTGAAGTTTATTTTGGACCTACTCAAAATGGAAAGTGTCAAGTTTATTTAGGACCGGAGGGAGTATTTTGGTATGTATTGAAAGAATATTAAAATTTTAGAAATCATTAATGATTATTTATTTCTAGTAATGTAGTGTACATGACTGTTTGTTGTATCATGTTTGTGCGTTTTTTACAACTTAATTAATATGATTTAAATCTTAGCTCTATAGGTTTAACTATAAATTAAATTAGAACTACGGAGTATTGTAATATTTAACCTAGAACGAAGAAGAAGAAAGTTGAAGATTTCTATTATATTCAACAATTTGATGATATTCGTTTTTATATTTTCACATGAACTTAGTAAATTAAAAATGATATTTATCTCATGCGTTATCGTTTTGCTATACTTTTTCTTAGTTGTGTTGCAGTATTTGTGCATTTGTGAATTTTAGTACTGGGTATGAAATTTCTTGTATTTATTTCAACATTTCATGTGACTTGATTGGTGTGATGATATCTACTAATTGCAAGATTTGTTTAAAAATTTTAGCATGTGTTTGGCATTGTACCGTATCATTTTGTACCGTTACGAAGCGATATGGTACCGAACGGTTCTATCCTTGGAACCAGACCGTACCGGACCGTTAAAAATCTCACGAATGCATTACGAGTTTTACCAATTTACCAAACCGTTCCGGATCGCGCCCGACCCTAAGTAGAATGACTTGTACACGCAGTAGGAGGGAAAGCAAATATTGATGGAGTGAGTTGTTATCAGACGGAGTTATCTCGGCACACCGTAACCTGTATTTGACGGTTTCGCCCTTGAATAGTTATATCCATCCTCTTTCTTGGGAAGGCTGATGCAGTGATGTTTAAAGGAGAGGTCATTGCATGGTGGAGAAAATATGCTGGCCTGGTGGCATGGATTGAGGAAGACAAAGAAGTTTGTTACTCTTTCGCCGACTTCCACATGCACAGTTAACATCTATGTCTCCGGATGACTCCGGCCAAGCACTTCAAGCGCCCAGGCTGATAGGGTGAAATTGCTGCTGGAACTCGAAGCTTCCATTTTTGTCATCGTCTTGAGCTAATTAATTAACCCTGCGCATGAGCGGTAGCCATTACTGAAAACCCAAATATCAGCAGCCGGTCGAAGCATAGCACGTCGTCGATGGAGAAAATGAAGGATGATGAGAAAACAATTAGTAAGGTTATTTTGGGAAGAATGGGGTGAAATAAATGATGTGCGTAAAGAAAGTTTCGCCCAGGTCCCATCCACGTGCGAGATCTGTTCATCTGCCACCTTACCTACCCTCTTCGTACCCACTTCTCACCAAGGCACGAAGCACAGCCAAAAAGCAGTCCTTAACTCAACCCAACCTCGAGGAGGAGGACTGGAGGAGGAGGAGGTAATGTACTCGATCTTCTCTACATCCCACTAATTTAACACAATTAAGTAAATCCCTAGGAGGTTAATTGCGGATGACAGAAGAAGAAGTACAGAGCCGAGCAGCCTTCTCCCTCCTTGCGGCTCTTTGTGCTCAAGGATCATGCACCAGTTGATGTGTTTGTTAACGTTTTCCTCCCTGCGGACTTCGAAATAATTTTAAAATTCATTGACCTGTGCATATTAGCAGACGTTCGGTTTCTTAATCTGTTTGTTGTAATTTTTTTTTTTGCCTGAAAGGAATCGCTTTTTCGGGAACAATTTTAGCCAAATAGCACTTTGATGTTATGCATACTTTTTTAGCTTGGTCATTTGAGGAAGGTATGGTGGAAGCTGTTTTTATTCCCTCCCGTTGTCTCTCCAAGTGAGAAATCTTGTGGTCAGGTTATGCCATCACCATTCCCATTTGCTCCCAATGATGGATCTACTGTATGCTTCGCAAATAATACGGAGTAGTATAATTTCCTCTTGATTGACTATTGAACATAAATCCTGCCAAATGTTGTACCATTGTAAAAAAAGGGCCTCCAAATGACCAAATCATAGTGTTATGTGTTATCTTTTGAGAGAAAGCAGTCAGTCGATTACCAATAACCACAATTTTAAAGCATTTTTACTGTTTTCTATATATCAAAAGTAGATCTGTATTAAAACGTGTCCTGAACTTTAAGTTTAGCTTTCTAAAAAAAGGATGACACCCCGATAGGACGGTATGTTGGGAGGATGTAAATTGGACTCTAATCCCAACCTGACAGATAGAGAGTGAGGCTCTGTTCCCGGTACTTGCAGAAGCTCTATGCATTTTTTTAGCATAGTAACCTCTCATCGCAGTTGACGGGATTCGAACCCGGGATCTAACCCTTGTGAGACTCCTTTGCTACAAGTTGAGCTACATCCACCGGTTTAAGTTTAACTTTCTAAAATACAACTTTATAGCTTTCTCTTATATGATTAATATAGCTCTACCTGCTCTAGTATTTATCTTTCTAGAATGTAGCTTTCTAGCTTTCTCTTAAGGTATTTAGCTTAATAGCTTCCTTCTATTTCAAATTAATATATCAGTTTCTTTAAAAAACATTTCTAAATGTGCAGAATTAATGTTTAATCTACCTATCTCTTGCAGTTGCAGAAGGGGTTCAAATACTTCTTTCTAGTGTGATTGTTTGAATCTCCCATTTGGACATCTAGGATTGCGTAGCAGATTGGAGTACAGTTGTTTGTGTTAGTGTATACTGCAGACATCACCTTAAATATATTTGTTGGGTTTTATAGAATTTTTTAATGTGGATTATGTTGAGCTATTGAGACATGATTTTCCTATTTCTTGTTTGTTAAGGAGTATTTAAATATCTGTTATTAAAACGTTTTTTTTTAGTATTTTAAATTGTCTAAATGTTATTCATAAATGATATTGGTATCACTGTACATACTAATACTTTATACGGAGTACTACTTATGGCATGTTGGAATCACTATACATGTTTTTCAGTATGACACTTTATACAAGTATATACCAATCATTTATGATAATAAGGTATACTGAACTTTCTGTATGTAACAGTAAGAGTTTTATGTCATACACTCATACTGAAATTTCAGCATACCGAATTTTGGTTTACCAATATTTTCAGTATGGTAAAAGTATGAAATTTTCAGTTTACACTTGCAGAAATTTTGGCACGATTCTTTAATGTTTTACAAATATTTCAACAAAATTCATTTTTCCTATTTTTTATTGAAGACAATAAACAATAATTAAATTTTTATGTATAAACCATATATAAAGATTTAATTCAGTTGTCATTTTGTTATTGTTGATAGGCTTTTTTGGGGCCCTGTATTTGTAATGTTTTGTTATCTTGTATATTTAGTTTCTTTGAAGTCAACGATAAATAAATTCAATTTAATATCTAAACTTGTAAACTACTTTTGCTTGCATTGATTTATTTTTATCAATAATACTATTTTGAATTCATTTGATATTTATGAATTATAATTATTAATCTTCAATAGAAAAAATGGCCAATTCAAATAAAGGGAATTCATCAGTCACATACATATTACTATTTGCAATTGAATTGAATATTATAAATTTTAAGTATTAATCATTAATATAACATGCCAGATAAAAATTATAACTAGGAATTGGCTAACAAGTAACATGGGAGAGTATTGTGATTCTGAAGAAAGTTCAATTGGATATCCAATATTATTCTCAACTCTTAATGAAAACTCTTGCACTAAAGTTATATTTTGATCCAATACTTTTTATTTGATGAATATTAAATATTTCATGTTTTGACTTCGATTCCACTGCTCCTTCGTGGCCTTCATAACACTCATCTGCCATTTGTACTATTATTTCTCCAGTTGCAATCCCATTCATTAACCCCTCGCCCAGTCTTTGTTGCATGCTGATGGATAATAACTACAACTCCCTGAATTTGTTCACGGATGAGACGTCATGGTACAACCACCTTGTGCTAGCGGCTGTCTTGCCAGAAGAAGTGTGGGGCCCTCTCCCTCACTTCTTCCAAACATGGCTACGAAACTACATCGGTGGAACGTTGCTTTATTTTGCGTCTGGTTTCCTTTGGTGCTTCTACATCTATTACTTGAAATGCGGCCATTATGTCCCTAAAGGTGTCTGAACCTCTCATTATGATATACATAGTACTATGTATTTATTTGATTCCTCTTTCCTACATTTGATCATCTCATGCGTTGAAAGTCCAACGATAAATCTATATGTATGTATCTATGCTGCATGCACAGTTGAAATATGCAATCTGATTAATTCACAATTCATTTTGGTTTGTTTTAGTACTTGTAATTAAAGTCATTGTATCGGACATATATGTTTTTTTGCAGCTGCAATCCCATCAAATAAAGCTATGCTCTTACAAATCGGAGTTGCAATGAAGGCTATGCCTTGGTACTCTGCTCTCCCGTCTGTGTCTGAATACATGATTGAAAGTGGATGGACTAGATGTGTTCCAAACATAAGTGATGTGGGATGGCCTCTATACTTTGTCTATCTGACTGCTTATCTTGTAATTGTGGAGTTTGGTATCTATTGGATGCACAGAGAGTTGCATGACATAAAACCACTTTATAAATACCTCCATGCTACCCACCATATTTACAACAAGCAAAATACACTTTCTCCCTTCGCTGGTACATCCCACCCTCTATCTGTTAAATTTGTTATCAATTATTAATTATTACGTAGTATTTATTTGCTTCGCCTGCTAAATTCAATTGCTGTTTAAGTTATGGTGTGCCATTCCTACACCTTTTTGGGCTTTAATGAAACTTCTGTGATAAGTGTTGTTCTTGTTGTACGATAGTATATACCAAGAAATTTTATTCACAATATCAGTTATGCAACGCGAGATGGCTATAGCAATATTATATTCTATGCAAGTGAAAAAATGGTTCACATTCACAGTTTTGAAATACAATGTCATTTTTTAAGCTTTAAAAAGTTTGATATGAATGAAATCTCTTGTGCAAAACTTTGTCACTATGGTCTTTGTTTCACGCCTTCAACTAATTTTAAAAATTAATTGACTCTGCAAGTACATTTCACCATCCTCATTGTAGATGGAATGGAAGGCGCTGACAAAGATGATTGTGGAGCTCTTTGCATACCCAATTATTCTGTGAACTGAACTTTTAGAATTTGGTTTAGCTATATGTACTTGGCCTCTTATTGTTTTGCCTGTGTCACGACAATAAAACGATTACATAGTTACTAGATAGTGGTCATTCTAGTGTAAAATTGAACAACATCGTGATAAAAATAACCACTACATATTAAAAGTCACATTTCCCCCATCATTTGCAATGGAGCCAAAAACTCACTATTTTTTGGCTTGAGAATATGATGGAATAAAGCAAAATGGCTCACTAAAGTGTCTGCGCTTCTTTGTTATGAAGCAACAATCGGTCCATGCAATTTTCGATGCGTTTTTTCACCATGTAAAATGGCTAACTAAAGTGTGGCTCACTATGAAACAGTCTCTCCCTGCCGTACAGGGGTAAGACTGTGTACATCTGACCCCTCCCTACCCCATCGTAGGTGAGAGCTTTTGCGGCACTTGGGTAATGATGACGATTAAAAGTCACATTTTTATTCGTCATTATTTTTTATTTAACCCCAGACCATGGTGTTTTTGTCTTTGTACTAGGTTTGGCATTCCACCCATTGGATGGGATACTTCAAGCAGTGCCACACGTAGTAGCTCTGTTCCTGGTCCCAATGCACTTCAGGACGCACATTGCACTTTTGTTCCTGGAAGCTGTATGGACAGCCAATATTCATGACTGCATAGATGGCAAAGTATGGCCTGTAATGGGTGCTGCCTATCACACAATTCATCATACCACATATAGGCATAATTATGGCCACTACACGATATGGATGGATTGGATGTTTGGAACCCTTCACAAGCCGAAAAATGATGAGCTCAAGAAGATGTGATATATTCGCAGTTGCTTAGCATCTCATCTGTACTGGATAAAGGTGTAGCCAGCAGTATGGGAGGTGAGGTCTTGGGAGGTAATAATGTAGGCCTCATTTCCTTGCTTTTTGTGTTGGACCTCCTGCTAGATACGAAGGGAGTCTATATTGGTAAGGTTGATGTATATTTCTTGTTGAAGTAGTTTTTAAAACCAGGCCTTGGAAACGGAAAAAACCAGTCTTTATCACAAGGAGTGAGTTTGTTTTATTTAAAATGCTCGGTTAATTGACATATTGAAATATAGTACCTAGATTACGTTGAAATTGACAAAGCTGTAGTGGTCAATTTCTTGTTGAAAATAAGGCATTTCCGGTTAAAAGGCACATGACATGCAAGTTCTTCTGAGAAGGAAATTCAAATGAAAAAGCTTATGACAATGACAAAGGTGGCTGGCTACATTTGGAAAGGAAGAGAACGAATTGAGGTGCAATGGTGAATGGTGTATCACTGATGTTAACGCTTTGTCATCCCCTTAGTCGGCAGAAGATCCCAAACACAAGAAAGAATGTCGACAACAAAGAATTTTTTGAACTTCCATTTTCTCGGAACCGCTTCAAAGTAATCCATGTTTGAAGAACTGATGAAATTATAATATAAATGAATTAAAAAATGTAGCTCGAATCACATTGAAGTTGACAAAGGTGCGCTACACTTTTAAAAGAATGTAACTTGAATCACATTGAAGTCAATAAAGGAGCACTTCAATAAAAAAAGGATGACACCTCATCCCTGAAGGCCCTCCAACACTGACCGGACGGTATGTTGGGAGGATGTAAATTCGACTATAATCACAATCTGACAGATAGAGAGTGAGATTTTGTTCCCGATACTTGCAGAGGTTCTATGCATTTTTTATCATAATAACCTCACATCGCAGTTGTCGGGATTCGAATCCGAGACCTAGCCCTTGTGACACTCCCTGGCTACCGGTTGAACTATGCCCACTGGTAAGGTGCACTTCAATATGTGTGCGAGAAGATGATGGACGATGGTTTGAAAATGAACAGAAATGGTGTCAGTGGCATAAATACGAACATGGAACCCCAATACACCATTCTGTGTCTCAACTATGCTGCAAGTGCACATATGTCCATTTGTGGGCATCCTTCAACTTTTCAAACAAGTAAACACAAAGTATGTAAATTTAGAATATTAATACGTTTGTCTAAACCAGAGAGAATGTTTATGCATTATGATTGGAATTCAACAATCCTTACACAAACAACTTTTGCATTTTTAGACAAATTGCTTGTGCACAGCAGCAAAACAGATAACATGTACGAGAGGCGTGTATAAAAAGAACTTTCCTTCAATGCTTTTCAGTTTGACGCAATCAAACGTTGAATTGAAGTAAAAGAAAATTGGTTCAATTTTACCTTTCAAAGGTTGAAACCATAGTTTAATTGGTTCACTTTATTACAGTTAATGTTGATTATTTAATTTTTGCCAAAAAATATTTCAGCTTCATTTAAAAACATAGTAATTGCAAAACTAATGACAACATAGTACAAAAATAAATAAAATAAAGTAGTAAGTAGAATTTTAATTTAGTGATTATTTATTTACTTATTTACATGTAAACGTGTATATTTTTATTTATTAATTATATATATATATATATTTATGATTTATTATATTTAAATTTAACTTTTTAGTTCTGAACAACGAGCAATGATGTGAGATCTTGGCAGAAGTCGACTGAGGGGGAAATTAAAATCAATGTGGGTGTCGCGTTGGACAACAAACGAGAAATAAAAGCCGGGGTTGGGTAGCTCGAGATCGCTCTGGCAAGTTTGTGGGGGGAGTTAGATTCTCGACATCAACATGATGGAATCTACCATGACGGAAGCTCTGGGACTTAGAGCGATTCTTCTGTGCGATAGCCAGCAGGACTGGACTAGGATGAAGGCTGAAACAGACTCATCAATTGTAGTATCAAGGATATTACGGGAGGATGGTAATTCGTATCTGGATGTTGTTATAGAAGGCATTGACACATTTTACTTGATCAAGCGGGTTTTGAAGTCAATTTATGTCGAAGATCAGGGTAGCTCACAAGCTTGCTAGGGATGCCCTGGATACATGGCCGGCTAGAGAGGTTTTGAGGCCCCAGACAAAATATAAACATCAATATTTAACCCAACATATATTAGTGTATTTTCTAGATAAAAACAATATAAACTATTGTACCTATTTTGAAAAATAGATTGTACTTCGTAACTCTTTTTACTATTGTAATCATTATATTTGCAAATTGGGAAAAAATTACATACAAAAAAAAGAATATGCTATCACAAATACAATTATTATATTAAATTCACAAATCAAATTAAATAATATTGAGACATTCATGCTAACTTTAAAAAAATATAACAAATATATATTTGTATTGCAAAATTCTAAAAAATAAAGACAATTCAATCAATAAAATTAGTTACACACAAAGTCCACCTTATACTATTGTACCAACATAAAAAAGAACAGTCTATAACAACAAATAAACTACTTCGTATTAATATTTAATATAAGAAGCTAAAAATATTTATTAAAATAGGGACCCATATAGTGATAGATAAATAACAATGAGTAATGAAAAGCATTAAATAAAGGGATTTTTTCTTAAATATTAGTGATAGACACAAATATTACTTAGTAACTATTAGTGACTACAATTGTGTTTAAAGTTTACATCGTAGTAACTTACATGTAATTACTACAATGTAAATTTGAACATAATTATAATCACCAATAGTTACCAAGTAATTTTTTTGTCCGTCACATTTTAAAGAGTAATATTAATGAGATTTTCTTAGATAAATATTAAAAATTAAAGAAAAAAGAATAAAATAAATGTAGGGTACACCACCCTAAATGCTCTACCCTTCTCTGAGTACTCAATAATCAACGTGTTTCGTGACTCTACAGACCAGTAGACGATGAATCCCAATCTGGTAAATAAATTAAGTTAAACACTACTCATAATTAATATTATTGGCAATGTTTTTAAAAAATGGGGCCCCAAAAAATGGAGGCCCAAGGCAACTGCCTTGCCTCACTCCACCTATGGTCGCCACTGCCTGGATAAGGCGGACTGGAGCCAATTTATTTTTCTAGTTCTGATTGTATTTCCTGCGAGCCGGCAAACGATGCTTTGAATTAACAACAGTTGACATTTTCCTTTTAAAAAAACAACCAGCCTAACCAACACAATATCTATTTTTATACTTAAAGATTATACTTGAATTTTAAGTTTTGAAATTTTGTAATATTTTTTTTTTGAATATAAAAAAGCGGCTTTTATAATAATATCGAGAAAACATACAACGAAGATCAGCATTTGAAATTACAAGCGGCTTTTGTAATTCTCAACTGCTAGCTAGTGAAAATCAACATTTACTTTGATACACGAACCGTAGAAGATGTAATAAAACTCATAAGTGTACTTATGTAATTCACATATTAGTAGCTATTATATACCTCTATCATCATTTTCATTACATGTAATGAAGTAGCATATCATTGAAATATATTGTTTTCTTTTTTCAGATTAAAAAAACATAACTCATACTACAAAAATCATTAAAGAAGTAAGGTTTAACTACCTTTTCCTTAATTTGCTATCAGTAATGAAAATAAATTAGTTTTGGTATCAGTAATGAAAATAAATTGGTAAATATGCTTACGACATGCTATTTTGAAACTGACTTTGTTATTTTCTTACAATTAGTAATCTAATAGAGTCATTATAAAAATAAACCTGAATATTTAGAGGGTATGTTATCAAATAACAACAAAGAGAATCTTTATTACTCAAAAGTAAACATGAAACTGTGAATTACAAAACTGAAATAACAAAATTCATTTATTTCGTTACAGTAACTCAGGCAATTGATGCATGCCTACATAATTGGGACTCGAATTTCAGAATTTTTTATGAATAAATGCAAATCAGTACAATATATACAAAACAGTAGAAATTAAAAACAAGTACATTGCTCGAAAATCAAAATATACTACAAATCCTCAATTTCGTTATCAGTTAACAAGGTGAGGGTGAAATGTTAGACATTAAGTACATTCAAGTAAAAAAATCGAATAAATAAAGAGACAATGACTGATTAATACGTTCTCTTTTCGAGTTGGCCGGTGTGCCCTAAACTCAGAGTTGTGTCGCCGATGATTCTCTTAGGTTCCGCGGGCAAGAGAAGAGCATGCGTCGAAGGAGCTGGAGCTTAATTCGTTCGTGTATCAGCTCGAAGGAGCAAGAGGTCTACGAGTACGAGAGCATGCATCGAAGGAGCTGGAGCATGAATCTAGGGTTTTTACGAAATGAAGTAATGAGAAGGCCGGCCAATTAAGTGTACGTCAAATGGGCTGCTTGTTGGAGCAGGGGAAAAAATGTTAAGTGTTTGAAAGTAAGTGATTAATTGTTGTGGTGGGGTCAAAACATGTGGAGGCAAAGATGTGGAGGGAAAAAAATGGATGAAAAAATGGAGGGAATTAAAAAGTTGCATCTAAAAGTGTGGTAGAAATTCGCATCTAATATCACTATTTGTATTGATATATACTATAGTATCATGAGTTAATCACACTTTTATGTTAATGCATTTGTGAGTGACACTAATTTTAAAAAGTGTCACTATAAAGTGTTACTATAAGCTAGTTTTCTAGTAGTAGACATAGAGTCAGTCACCTCATACAAAACAACCTGACTCGCTAGACACGAAATGAGTAATTTTAAGCCTAAAACGATCAACATCAAAACACTGTCTATCACAAATTCATAAGTATTCCGAATATCCAAATAACTAAACCAAACTTACTCGAGTAAAAACAAAAATAAGTACTACTAAAGAAAAAATAACAATGGAAAAAAAATCTTTCACAAAACTCTTCCAGGCAAGGAGGTGGTTCTGGAGGAGGATGAACTTCTGCAATATGGGTGCATACTAAATTCTTCTTCTTTCTTCGGTCCGGATAGACGTAGAAACAAGTGGAGTAAAAAATAATGTTTAAGCCTCTACCCTTCTCTACGTAGCTTAAAAGAAGGCAGATAGAAACCCCTAACTAGACGAAGCTGGTCGAGACACCAAAGCAACTCCTCACATCGAGGGAGACAAAACACACCAAAGCGTCACAGCCCGGGAAAGAAACACCATAAAACAGGACAAACACAACAACAAAAGAAGAACAATCAAGTTGGGTCATTACCTTCTAAGAAAGATGTTAAT